AAATCATCAACAAATTTTCAAGCAAAAACAAGCACGTCTGTATTATACTATACCCAATCAAGAAGCGATTAACAAGTGCAAATGTGGAGAGGACTCTGGTTACGATAAAAGTTGTGTCGCACTCTTAATTGTGGAGAGCTGCTGCATAATCATTTACATGTGGAAATGCAGATATAGGAGGTGGAAGGCTAGTCGCAAGTATTGAAAATTTGCACCAATAGAGGGCAGTACTAATCAAAAAAAGCTATTTTGTGAAAAGATGTAAGATCTATCAGAAGGACGTATTTGGTAGGCATTATGTATACCACAACTGCATGCAAGTACAATCTGATACGAAGAGTTATCTGTCAGATGTTTAAAGGTGTATTTTAGAAGGACCAGTTTGAATAACTGATACAGTAAGTTCAAATCTACTGAACATTGTCTGCTTTATGGCCAATATCACCAACACAGTCTTTATACTAATGAGCTCAAAGCCAGCATCCTTATTAATTACTAACTGAAAAAGACTGTCCTTTATCAATTATAAAACTTTTACCAGAGTTCTATCCAACAAACTCTAGAACTAGTTCACCACCACTTTATACATTTTCCTATTTTGATTTTTATAAGTTATTGGAAAAAAAACTAAAATATACAAAAGCATTTTGTATATATCACAATAAAATACAGTCAAAAACAAGAACAAATATTTAACTAAAACAAGAACTGACTATTAGCAGACAAAAATCACATTATATAATACAAATGTTGAATTGGACAAGAATTTGAAAGACGATGTCAAACCAAATATCTTTTGTTTTAATTTAACTATTAAAACCTAGGTTCATATTTTGTAAAGTGAATCAATTTTCTATGTGCTTACTCACCAATTCAAATGTAGCTAATAAAGATTTGATGATGGCAAGTGAAATGCTAATACACGTTTAAAACACTGCTTCTTATTCATTCATTTTTAGTTCACAGCTGCCCTAATTTATACTTCATTATTTTTCCTCATTTTAAAGACTGAAATGAAATTACCAGGAAAGCAAAATTATATACTCCTGGATCAGTCCTTCACACAGTTCATGGGAGCTGTTGATGGACTGATGCAGTATCTCAATTCTTTGTTTACAAAATTGAAAAATAAAAGTTAATTTTTACTAAATGAATTGTATTTTGCAAATAATTAATATGCAATTTTGTAATTTAAACATTAAAACATTTACTTAGTTTCTCAGTTACATCTATATAGTTTACAAATGTCATATTACTGTGCATGTAACATTGCTACTCCGGATCAATTGAAATTAAAATATTGGAATCATAGCAGCCAACAAGATCAAACAGTTATCTGTGTGCATACATCCGATTACACAACAAATAATGAAAGGATCTAAATTTAAAAAGTATTTATTTCTGGCAAGAATAAAAACAAAACGTAGTTGGCCCAAAACAGCAAATAGTCATAACACACTTGACAGAGGCTCTAACAAGCCCATGCAAAACTCATTTATGGGCACTTTTGAATATCAATGTGGTAGCCCCTCTCAGACATGAAAGACTGTTGGACCTGTGTGAACAATGTAAATTATTTGGCCCAGTAAGATTACAAATTAACCACAGGAAGTTACAGAGCACAATTATACATATTCTTGGACCTATGTATAATTTTTGAGGCCAGGCAGTAAAAGAGAGGTGGTTAGAAAGAGAAATGTCAATTTGAAGCCATCTTATGTACACCGTATTCAATACATAAAAGTGAAAAAAAAAACAAGCTCCTCTTTATCAGAAATAATTGGCACAAAATTACTTAATGTTTTGAAAAATTAATTAATCCACTGTAAAAAAAATTTAATTAAAATAGCTTCAAATCACTATTTGATTTCTCCAATAAAAAACAAGCAGGGAAAACAAACACTGTTATTAAACTGAAAATATTGCTAAAATTATTTCAACTATATTAAAAATACTGCTAATTAAAACAAGTATTGTTATAACACTTAAAATAC